TAAGCGTGATGGGCAGGCAACTAGCATTCGGAAGAAGAAGGTCAACAATGAGAACCTCTGTGTTTTTCTCAGGGCTTCTGTAAAGTTGAACTCCAGGTAAGCATCTAGCTACACAGATGAAATATATACACGGGAGCTATTTAATTTGCAATAGGATTTGTATTCCTGTCTATTCAGTTATAAGTTTTATATAAGCCCATCACCCAGCAGAGCCAGATGGATAATACTCACTTCCTCTGTATACAGAGTAAAAAGTGGCCTCATCTCCCTGATCCCAGTTTACTAATCAGACAGTGGCAGAGTAGCTTCAGAATTATGAAGTCAACACTCTGCTCACTCTGCATCTGTTCATTCTGTTTGAACTCACCCTCTCCCAGTCTGAATATTGCTGTATAGAAGATCAAATGAGGGTGAGCTACTTCAACAGCTGCATTTAAAAAATACAAATTCAGGGCTATGTTTAACAATAAGCTCAGTAGGACTATGCATATACACTGTGGTGACATCGGGAGTAACTTTCTGTTGGAATAAAGTGTTCATGTGTGTTGTGCAACAACTATATCAGCATACAGTAGAGATATATTGTTCAATCAATAGATGACAGTGTCTATAAGTTTGTAGCTGCATCTATGGCATACGCTATGACCAGGGGCAGACTGACCATTTGGAAACTCGGCACTGCCCGAGGGCCCGGGGTCAGTAGGGGGCCCCATGAGATGTCCCTGGTACCTTTTTCATAGGCTTTTTTGAGTTTGGGCAAGGACACAGGGGCCCCATGATCCCCTATTGCCCGGGGGCCCCATGAGTTGTCAGTCCGCCCCTGGCTATGACTTTTCTCTGAATAGAGTTTCCTGTTTCCTTGTTACGGTAAAGCAGAAAAGCCAAGTCTGTAGCTAACTACAGACTTTCTAACACTTTCTAATTATTTCATCGCCTATTTTTCACATCACCAGTAGACATGTAGACATCTTTGATAAGCTCATTTAAATATTGTGACAATATTCTAAGCCAAGTTAGGATCTGCTAAACGTTTTTTAGGCCCATATAGAATGAACATGCCTATGCAACACAACTGGTATCGATGCATAAAATGGCACCACTTTGCACTGGAATATGCATAGAACAGTGTTACAGACCCTAAATGTCATATCTAGCCATATAATACTGAATGAGTCAGCTACATATAAGAATAAGACCAACTGGGTGCATACAGAGTGGCTGCAGTTGACCGATTAACTTCACTGGAATTGGCATGACAGAAGACCACAGAATGAGGATTAACCACTAGCCGCCCAGCCACTGTATAAAAATGGTGGCAGGGCAGCATGGCTGGGCAAAAGCACGTTTTAAAAACGTGCTGTTTCATAACAGGTAGGGGGCACGCACGAGGCGCACCGCCGCCCTACCTTCACCGCCGATCTCAGCCACGGGTGTCAGTCGCCGGGTCACAACCGGTTATTGTCAGCTGTGTCCCGGCGATTAGCGGCAATCAGTGACAGAGAGCAGGGCTGCAGTAGCTGTGTTTTCTGTCAGTTCCCTCACAGTTCCTGACAAGCTGACCAGGAGAAAAGAGTTTCTCTGTCCCGATCAGCGTGTCTCCCTGCAGTACACCCCCCCGCCCCCAAGTAAAACACTCCCCTCACACAGTTAACCCTTTCAGTGAATAATAATACTTAACCCCTTCCTCCCCAGGGCCATTAGCACAGTGTCAATGTTTTTTTTTTTGCACTGATCACTGTATTGGTGTCACTGGGGATGTCAGTGACCCTAAGTCGGTTCCCCCCCAGTGTCAGAATGTCCACCGCAGTCCCGCAGTCCTGCCATAAGTCGCTGATCACCGCCATAGGTCACTGATCGCCGCCATAAGTCGCTGATCACTGACATTATTAGTATAAAAAAAATAAAAATCTGAGTATCTTTCCCGCCATTTGTAAACGCCATAACGTTCACTTAAAACCAATTAATTTACACGTAGGGTTTTGTTTTAGCAAAGACATGTCGCAGAATGCATTTTGGCTGAAATTTATGACAAAATTTGATTTTTACATTTTTTTTTTACTGGACATGTTTTATAGCAAAAAGTACAAAATATTGTTTTTTTTTCTCAAAATTGTCAGCCTTTTTTTTTATAGCGCAAAAAAAAAAAAAAAAAAAACAGGCGATCAAATACCACCAAAAGAAAGCTCTATTTGTGTAACAAAAAGGACATAAATTTCATTTATGTACAGTATTGCATGACCGCGCAATTGTCCGTTAAACTAGCGCAGTGCTGTATAGCAAAAAAATGGCGTAAATTGCAGTATCTATACCATAGTTTGTAGACGCTATAACGTTCACAAAAAGCAATCAATATACACTTATTGGGATTTTTTTTACCAAAAACATGTAGCAAATACATTTTGGCCTAAATTTATAACCAACTTTGAGTTTACTATATATTTTTTATAGCTGAAAGTAAAAAATATTGTTTTTTCTTCAAAATTTTTGGTCTTTTTTTCTTTATTGCGTGAAAAATAAAAAGCGCACAGGTGATCAAATACCACCGAAAGAAAGCTCTATTTGTGTGAAAAAAAGGACATAAATTTTGTTTGGGTGCAGCGTTGCATGACCGTGCAATTATCAGTTGAATTAGAGCAGCGCCGAGTAGCAAAAATAGGCCTGGTCATTAAGGGGGGTAAATCCTCAGGCGCGCAAGTGGTTAAAGTAAGTTTAACAGGATCATAGGAAAAATATGATACATTGGCTAAACACTATTGTTTTTTCCATCCTGGCCAAAGTCCAACCCTTAATTATATTTCCTTTTTTTTAAGACGAAAAAGGCAAGTGTTCATGCATCTATGTATGGATACAGTACAGTACCTAGTCACAATCACTAAAACATTCAGTAAGACTACATTAGATTTTTCCTTTTCACTTGACAATTCTCAGACTTGAGAGCTGTCAGTCATTCAGTCATCCCTGCAGAACAAATGTTCAGAAATTGCAGACAATTGTAGGACTGGTATGATTTCATACAGATATATCATAGGATGACACAAGAAGAGGTGAAACATAAATGATGTTTGGGTCATTCATTCTCTACAGCCTGCCTTTGTGACCATTCTACTCAGAGAGAACATTAAATAAAGTACTCATGCACCGTTCCTGCTCTGGAAATGGCATGATTCTTTACAAGCGCATACATAAAAATGCTTTCAGAATGACCATAATCATATCTGTAAAACTATTACAAGTTTGATATTAAACATTGGTCATTTGCAAGGCTCTCCTGGGTCTTTTAGACCTTGATCTATTTGGGTTCTCTAGCCATCTCGTAAACAGCATGTCTGGCTACTCGTGAATTTATGAAAGTTCAGCTGATGACTGTCGGCAGCTTATATATTACCAACGAATGATGGGACAGCTTTACAGGTCTCTTGATCCCCATCAAGTGAAGTCTCATTCTTGCTGGGATTTGTCCAGAATTATGGGTAAAACACTCAAGAGTTTGCCATGGTGTAATATTAGTTTTTAAAACCATATGGACTGTATCATGCTAGGTTACAAATAAAATGATTCTTCTCATTTGTGGTCACAAAAGGTGAACAATTGAGAAAGATTGAAGTCAACCACTGCTCTATTGGAAATAGACAATTACACCCAAGTGTGAACAGGTGTTCTTTTTTGCCCTTCTTATCAGCATTTGTCATCTCTACTCAAAACCTAAAAGCTTTCAAAGCTGTAATAGCTGATATTGGCCATTAATTCACATTATGGAAATGTTTTGTTATAGTCTGCTTAAAAGGGACATGCCATTGTTAAAGTATCTCATCTAGCAATTTGTTTGGTGCAAGTTATGAAATGTTCTGCTATACTTTAGCTGATAAAATTGTTTTTGTTAAGAGCTACTTTTTATGTAGAAACAGATGGCCTCTCAGTTGCATGTCTGGCATATGGCATCCATATTAGGACATTTGCAATGTATCTCTGTTCTGCATCAGCATTTCTTTTAACTTTCCTTATCTGTTCTACCAAAAACACCATATCCCTTATACATCATTTAACAGACAGATTATCCTGTCCATTGTTCCCAAATAAATTGTCACACTCTCATCTGAGAGTCTGGGCAAACATTGTAACGAAGCGGTAACTCTGAAAGATAAAGCTTTAAAGATGAAATTGGATCAGTGAGTTTATTATACTGTGGAAGTGTCCTAAAAAAAAAATGTAATTCCTGCGTGCAGTCGTCTGGTTTTCATGTTATCATGGCAGCACTGAGAGGTTAGGTAATAAGAGAGTTGGATATAAAGTCAGATGTTATCCTGGCAGCAAAGCATACGTGATTAAAGAGGAACTTCACCTCCCCATTAATGTGTTTTCCATGCTTACCTGATGCTGGGTTGTACAGCTGGGTTGTCAGATATGTACCCACCCAGCAAATCCGGCATTGTCCTGCTGAGTTCTTCTTCCCTGCAGCCGTCACTTGGGCTCTACACACCCATATTCCCCTGTGATGTCATTGGGAGAATGTCAGCTCTTCTGGGTTCAAGCACAGCCTACCGATGACACACCACTAGACCCAATTTCATCCACCTTTAATGAATGGATTGATGTTAGTGCTCCCAGTGCCTCCTGGGACATGCATGTCACATATCCCATGAGGCACTGGGGCACCAATATCATTAGCCTAAGTGATTAAGGAGGATCGAGAGGAGGAAAGTTGTTTGAAGTGTGACTGTCTGCTTTAAATCTGCTTTAAGCTGGACAAATAAAGTAGCACTGGTGTTTTCCTTTTCTTTGCCTGTTGTAACTTGTTTTATATATTATTCAACATCTTTGGACATGAAAATGACATTTAATTCTTCCATATCTTAACCTCCTAGCTATATCATTGACTAGAAAAATGATAAGTAAAAGCTGAAATATTGTGCATAGGTATTTTTTATTGTTAATATATATTTATGTGGTTTTTTTTTTATACAGAGATCTGATGCCCCAGAACGATAGAAGGGCAGATTACGATGGAGAAGACACCCAGTTATTTTGTCACCAATGAGGCTCCACAGCGGATCCACTCAATGGCCAAAGACACTAAACTTATTGTGGTGGTCAGAAATCCAGTTACCCGTGCCATATCTGATTATACTCAGACTCTTTCCAAGAAACCGGAAATTCCTACATTTGAGGTCCTTGCCTTCAAAAACAGGACCCTGGGATTGATTGATGCTTCTTGGAGTGCACTGCGAATAGGCATCTATGCTTTGCATCTAGAAAGCTGGATGCAATACTTTCCCCTTTCCCAGATACTTTTTGTCAGTGGAGAACGTCTCATCACTAACCCAGCAGAAGAGCTGGCCAAAGTCCAAGACTTTTTGGGTCTACAACGGATTATCACAGATAAACATTTTTATTTTAATAAAACCAAAGGCTTCCCATGCCTGAAGAAGCCGGAAGATACAGGAGCTCCCAGGTGCTTGGGAAAATCCAAGGGTCGGACTCATCCCAAAATTGACCCTGATGTCATCCAGCGCTTGAGGAAATTTTACAAACCTTTCAATGCTATGTTCTACCAAATGACAGGACAAGACTTTCAGTGGGAAAAAGAAGAACTAGAAGGTTAAAATGGGCACATGGGATCGTCACAAAATAAAAATTAGAGGGGAAATTAAAGACTTGTCAGTGTACAGAAAATATTTACCATTTTGCCAAAAAAAAAAAAAAAAAAGAAAAAAAAAAGTTCTAGTTTCTATAATGGCACGGTACATTCTTTGGAATGGTGATACAGGTAAATCACTCATACCCCACACATTTGTAATGTAAAAAAAATAATAATTTCTTTATTTAAAAAAAGTGTCTTGGCCATTATAGGAGAAAATAGAAGAAAAGCTTATTTTTTGAAAACAAAAAATCAGAATGTCAATATTATTAATATATTGAAAAATTACACTTTTATTCAAATAAAAATAAGACAAAGACAAAAAAATAAATTAAATGTATGTGATTTACCTGTGGGGATACAATGAAGCTGAAAATGCACATTTTTGCTGTAAACCATACTAGCCAATCACTATCTAGCTTTTATTTAATGTGCACTTGAACAAATATTATGTTAGCTAAGGGTTACAGCATACATGTGCTGTTAAAATGAAGCTATAATGCATTGAATACAAACGTGTTCAATGCCCTCCCATGATCAGTAATGCAGTTTGGAAAGCACAAGAAAATGACTGCGAAATTGTGAAGACTATTGAAGAGCACGTATAGATCTTCAATTGTGTATTTTGTAAAAGGACACAGGAGAATCATATCACATTAATTTTTTTTTTATTATTTTAAAAGTAGTTGCCAAAAAAAAAATACTACCAAGCAGAGACAATATTAAAGCACAGATGTCTATTGTATAATTTATTTTCAACACTGGGTATTGAGGTTTCTTTAGAAAATATTTTCCGTTGTTTTGTGAAATGTTTCATTTATGGAAAAAAACCCACTAAAATAAATTAAAATTATTTTCTTTTTGCAGCACAATTGAAATTGTAGCTTGGGTCTGAAAGACAAAGCACAGCTAGTCACAAGTTCTTTGTAGCTACAATACATGTACTAGCTTATTCACTAAGGAAAAGAACAAAAGTACAGTAACTAATGGCAACCAATCATAATTAATAGTTCAGTAATTTTATATCTGTACATGGAAACCTGTTTGGTTGCTATCTAATGACCTTGCTATGCTATACAATTTGCAATTCATTTTCTCTCTTTGTTCTGTTTTGTTATATTAGACTGGCAGAGTGCAAGATTTACTAAAGTTTCTATTTCTACTATGAGACAAAGGGGTTTTAATATTAGATTTTAAAATTTATCTATAGCCAAAACTTTATGTATGTTTCAGATAGAAAAGTGTAAAAACCGATGTCAGTTACATTTTTGCTGTCTGTGTTCTGTTTCGGAGAACTCCTTTTCCTCCTGTCCAGGAGACACAACAGGAAAGGGGAAGAAGCCTTTACAAAATAAAGAGATATTCCCTTCTTAGACAGTGGTCACCAGAGAAGAGGTGCCTTTAGGACATTCCTGCATGCATCTCTGGTGACAACTGTACAAATTGAGGATTTCCCATCACTTTCTGTCTTGGTGATAATTATCACCAGGATAAATAGAGAGGCTAAATGTACAAATTGAGGATTTCCCATCACTTTCTGTCTTGGTGATAATTATCATCAGGATAAATAGAGAGGCTAAATGTACCCAGAGGGGGCGTAGACATACAGTATGTAATAAATTGGCAGAGTTTCTAAATCTTTCCTACCTAATAATAATAATACTAAAAAAGTTGACTTTACACTTAGTTTTGGATGACAACACTGTGAGCTACCACTGTGGTAAAAAGTCTACATGTATGTAGGTATGACACTGGGCAAAGTTGGCAATATGACAGGTTTTCATGGAATTGTCCTTCTATTGTAAAGTCTAGCTACCCTTTAAATTTTAATGGAGCTTGCTTTGGTGGCCACAGAGTATTGAAGAATAGTGTTAGAGTTGAACTTATGCAACAGGTGCTGACTAGTTTTGAGCACTCTTCTACAGTTGGGTTTTTACAAGTAGCTGTTTGATCTTCATCTCTGGTTATTGAAAAAAGGAACCAGCAAGGTGGGAAGGTCAAAAGTCTGGGGTGTTTTAAATATCAAAATTATGGAGTTGGAATCTAGCTGGGTACTGAAATTTGCATCATGATCTATATTACTGCTACAAAAATGAGCGTACTGACTAGAGATGAGCGAATTGAACCAGCGAACCGGAATTCGATACTCAGGAAAAAATTCGATTGCGAATCATAATATTTGCCTACTTCGGGTGAATCTATAAGTGGCTACAAAAGTGTCCCTGCAGAGAGCTTACTGCTACAAAAATGAGCTGTTACATTACTGTGACTGTCAGGAAATAGATGCACATAACTCGGTTTGGAAAATTTTAAATATTCACTTGAGCCTGATGAAAACTTAAGAATCATTCCAAGCCGGCAAAAAGTGTGTATGTAGTTCCTCTATTCTGCAATACATAGAGGAGCTCTGCAGATTTTAGAGGAGCTCTGCAACATACACTTTTTGCCGGCTTGGAATTATCTTATTTTCATCCTACTTCTTCTTCTTCTTCATCCTCATCTCTCATTCAGAAGAAGAAGAAGAGGATGAGGATGAAGAAGAGAAGAAGAAGAAGTAGGATGAAAATAAGAATAATTCCAAGCCGGCAAAAAGTGTATGTGCAGAGTTCCTCTATTCTGCAGATAGCACTTTCTGCAGATACCAACTTATGGAGGAGCTCTTGCCAATCTTTTTCGGCTTGGAATTAATCTATTTTTCATCCTACTTCTTCTTCTTCTTCTTCTTTTCTTCATCCTCAAAGAAGACTGGAAGAAGAAGAACTAGATTAAGTAGGATGAAAATAAGAATAATTCCAAGCCGGCAAAAAATGTATCTGCAGAGCTCCTCTAAGTGTATCTAGAATGTCATTTATGGAAACAAATAGATACAATGTTTCAACCGCTGTATGGAGTGAATGTCCCAGAACTGTCAGAAATAGACTATTTCTGACAGTTCTGGGACATTCCCTCCATACAGCGGTTGAAACCGCTGTATGGTGGGAATGTCCCACAACTGTCAGAAATAGCCATTTTCTGACAGTTTCTGGGACATTCACTCCAATACTAGAAACTGTCAGAAATTTGACTATTTCTGGTTCTGGGGATTCCCTCAATACAGCGGTTGAAACCGCTGTATGGAGTGAAGTCACAGAACTGTCAGAAATGAAACTGTCTTTCAAACCGCTGTATGGAGGGAATGTCCCAGAACTGTAGAAATAATATTAGCTACAGTTCTGGGACATTCCCTCCATACAGCGGTTGAAAACTGCTGTATGGAGTGAATGTCCCACAACTGTCAGAAATAGACTTTGATTTTATGACAGTTCTGGGACTCCATACAGCGGTTGAAACCGCTGTATGGAGGGAATGTCCCATCAACTGTCAGAAATAGACTATTTCTGACATGTTCTGGGACAAAACTCCATACATGTCCCAGAACTGTCAAGAAATAGACTATTTCTGACAGTTCTGGGACATTCCCTCAATTACAGCGGTTGAAACGCTGTTATGGAGTGAATGTCACAGAACTGTCAGAAATAGACAGTAAAACTGTCACAGAACTGTCTTTTCTCATAATTCTCCTTCTTCTCATCCTTTCTCCTTCTTTCATCCTTCTCCTTCTTCTCATCCTTCTCCTTCTCCTTCTTCTCAGCATCCTTCTCCTTTTTCATCCTTCTTCTCATCCTTTCTCCTTCTCCTTCTTCTCACTATTCTTCTCATCCTTCTCCTTCTTCTCATCCTTCTCCTTCTCCTTCTTCTCATCCTTCTCCTTCTCTTCTTCTCAGCTCATCTCCAAGGGCATTTAAAATTAAAGGTACAGTGTTCTACGTGTTAAGTCTGGGCTCTCTGAAGCCTAGAAACCCTTTTTTTATAAGTTTAACTTCGTTAGCGATTAATTCGCATCGAATCGAATGGAATTCGCCGAATCAGCCGAATCGAATTTTTGAAAAAATTCGCTCGCATCTCTAGTATGACCAATCAACTCTAAATATTCACTTGAATGAAAAACTTAAGTCATTAAAAAGTAGCTAAAATGTTTTTAGTATGCCATTTTTAAGCACATCCAGGTTGCTGCAAAATGCCTCAGCTATGCTTTTAGGCATCATAAGAGCCACAAATCTCTATTTGTAAATTTTCAACCATCTTTCTTTCAAAAGACTGGCCTCAACTCCTTCATCTTACCATTGGCTAGCAAAGTAGCCTATTACTGTGATGTTTTAAGATAAGAAGGTGGTAGGTGTTGTGGCCAGATTCTCAATCTAGATGCAGTTTGCACATCGGGGTATCTTGGAATTTGAGGATCTGGAGTAGCACAGCTGGTGGCCATACTAGGAAATATTAGCTAACTAATTATGGCTTCGGGTTACACTTTAAAAAAGAACGTATCTTAGGAAAAAACCTGTTCAAGACACAGCTTGCATCCACCTGTAATAGCTGATATTCTTTCAGTCCTGGTTCCATTGTGCTCCATTATCTGTGACATCACTTACACTAAAGCTAAACAGATTCATCTACGTTTCTCCAGAAACTCAGAAGTCTACTACCGATGGAAGATTGATGGAGCTTTCTTAAAACACGTGCCATAATTACTGTTTCCATTTAACCTACTACAACTTCTATTTTCACATTCTTCTAAAATTTGTCCATAATCATATACAAGTACTATTTATTCTACCATCTTTGTCATTCCTCACTCTTTTTTCACCAGAAAGCAGTATGTACCTGTAAAACAACCTAAAACACTTTGCCTATATATAAAACTGATTTACATTTGGAAGCCTTACACTTGGCAAGCACATACATTTTTAAAACACATCCCATCAACCTTTAGCTATACTATTTAATAATTTAAGAACCTCTTGTGGGTAAAAATAGGAATAAAAAAACAACTGAATAGCAGAGGTGTAACTAAAAGCTGCAGGGCCCTGATATAAAATATAAAGGGGCCCTTATATCACCTATTAGCCTTCAAGAAACCTAATCCTT